TATAAGAATAATTTCGGCTGCCTAAATGCCGTAATTACTTTTTTATTAAGATGGGCAATTTAGGCACCCATGTATACCTTGACCGTGAAATTCCTATCCTTGGTGTATCTCGCGCTGTTCTGGATAATGTTATTTTTTGTCACCAAGAAGAATCTACTTGGCCTTTATCTGAACCTACTCCTTTAAAAAGACGTTTCGATGAAATATTTGCTGCAACAAGATTACTGAATTACGAAAAAAAAGAGGTGCAGAAATTTCGTGAAGATAAATTTCTTTAGAACAGCTAGAAAAAATATTGAATTCTGATCAATAAAGAACTGAAGTATTACAACGAAAAATGGTAGTTCTTAATGTACAAAAAGATAAAAATAGATGAATTAATACAAACAATTCGTAAATTGGATAATATCAATGCTGAATAATCATAAAAAATAAGGAATAAAATACCATAGAGAAACAGATTGATGAATTATCAAGTTCTTTGAAAGAGATGGTAAATATGGTAAATTTAAAGTTTGGATCACAAACAATCAAAAATTAATATTAGTTTATATAAAATTTTTATCAATATTATTGATTGTTTAGAATCTGATGAAAAATTGAAGATTAGACAAGATTATGCAAATAAAATTCATACTCAAGATACTGATCGAAAAAGCTTTGAGAGGCTGAAGTTTTCTGTTGATTAAGAAATTTCGGCTCTTCGTTCTTCTCTAAATACCCTACATACAAATAGGGGGCAATTACAAGCTGAACAAAATATTAATAATCAACGAATCGAAAATCTTGAAAATTTGGTTCGAGAGATTAGTAGAAAATTTAATTTTAGAGCATTTTTAACTGCTCCATTGACTGCCACGAATTTGCAAAGAATTAAAGATATACTTCAAACTGAATTAGATGAAAAAATAATGCTCTTACCAAACAAAGGTGTTTTATAATTTTTATTCATAAATTATTAATCACACGTAAATATATTAACTTTTTAATTAATTAATTAAAATATGAATTTTGTAGGAACGAGCTC